CCTGCAGCCCTGCACCCTTCCCCATTCCCCTCTGACAGAGACTTCCAGGACACAGGTGGCAAGGCAGGAACAAGGTTAGTTTAGAGATTCCCAACCGGATCATCCAAGAGAGAAGAGCAAACTGAGAACAGAAGACAAGAGTTTACAAACCAGCACACTGAGCTGCCTGCTGTCACTACCTTAACAAGCCACCTGTGCCTAGACCTTGTCTAGGATCTGCTTTGGGGGAAAGCCAATGTAATTCAAATTCCCCTAGTTCCCTATTGTCATAGAATCTCATTAACTAGCAGTAACCTTTGGGCTCTTTGGGGTTATAAACAACAGACCAATTCTAGTTCATGAAGCAAAAAGCTCTCAAAAAGCAGAAGCTCTCAGAAGCGAAGCCTCAAAAACTGGCCAAAACCCTCCTAGAAGGACAGTGATTTCAGCAAGTCTGTGCACTTGGATTCATAGCAGGAAGTAGTAGGTGACCTCATGAGATCACCCCACTAGAGGGAGGGCCTGGCATGTTTAGTCTTGGCTTCATTGGCCTGGTTTCAGGGAGAGGGAATCTGACGGCTCCAGTCTGGATGGCTTGCCCAGAGTGAAACCAGCAAAAGCAGGATTTTTACTGACAGTATGATCAAGACTGTATCCAGTATGGGAAGAGAAGCTAGTTACAAACACAGGGCTATGAGTGGCCTGTATGGCTGGCCAAGAAAGGGCAGCGATGTTGATCAGCTGTTTTAGGCTGGTTTCTCAAAAAGCCAATCTTAAGGACAGGGGCCAAGGGCAAGTGGCTTAGTTGAAAAGAAGCGTCTATGGGTGAGGAAGGATGTGAGACACATGGAAGGAGGCCAGAAGAGGGCAACTGAGAAATGGATTTCTTCCTGGACACCTGGGGCTCAAAACCACCAGGGAATTCCAAGAGACTGTGCTGAATATGCTTCAATCATCTCAAAAGAGGGCTAGAGAGCTGGGGTATTTACACTTCAGTTCCCATCCGTCCTTGATTGAAGGACGTTTCCAGAAATATGAACACCCTAGAACTTCCAGTCAGCTCGGTTTGTGGACCAAGCACTCTGCTACAGCCGTAGCAAGCAAGCAGAGTGAGTCATGTGTGCTTGCAGCCAGATTTGAGACAGTTGGGGTGCAAGCATGAACCAGTACAGCAGGGAATCTGAGCCAGGCACCTCGGGCACTGGTGCATCAGCCATGATGCGGTCACCTGGCATGCTCAGAACAAGATGGGCAGGAACTGTCATTCGGCTTCCTCAGGGAAGAGGCAGTTTGGGAGATGAAGACCCTGCCATGGATGCCATGGGGAGGCCTGTTCTGAGTCCCCATGCTCACTAATGAGAAACGCTTTGACAAAAACACCCTTCAGAGCACTTTCAGACGGCTCGGAGGCCACTTTCAGAGACTGCAAGGAAAAGAAAGGCCAGGAACCCAAACCAATTCCTCAGCTTTCCAAGAGAAAACAGAACAAGCAGGGGTAGAGGACAGGAGCCACAAGAAAATGAACAAGTAAGGCTGGTCACTGGGCCCTAGGGTAGGCAGAGACTCAGTTATGCCCCAATGTGCCTCCCACTCCTTCACCCTCGTTTCCCCTCATCAAACAGGCCAAGGCTATTCCTGCCCGAGAGCATTTGCACTTGCAGTTCTCTGCGCCTGGAATGCTCTTCCACAAGATGCACCGCTTTGTCATTCACATCACAGGTCACCTCTCCACAGTGTATTCTTTTTACCATTCAGGCCCAGGTAGACCCCTCCCAAGTCACTTCAGCAGGTCACCCTATTCAACTTCTTTCATAGCACTGTCTCTAATTTTCTCATTTAGTTATCTGTTCGCTTCTGCACCTCCTTCCTCCCCAACCAGAATATCAGGGTTAGGGGACGGGGCCATATCTGATGGCGTTCCAGCTTCTGTCCCTACAAAGCCCAGAACTGTGCCTGGCAGGACAGATCCCCGGTCTGCTTTTCCTGGTTGATCGAATATAATATAAAAATGGCCTTTGATTCCACAATGATGCCCCCTGCCTTTTTAGATAAGAATATTCACTGAAGACATCGTCTGGAAAATAAAAAGGCTTAGCGGAAAAAAGAAAGGTTTTTCGGTGACTGGTAATGTCGAATATAATAGACACAGTCCCACAGTCCTGCATTACAGGGTCCAACCAATGGTCCTGTCATTCTCCCCTAAGCTTTTAAGTTATAAATATTTCAAACTGCAGAATGGACTGACTTCTCTATTCATCTTTTAGAAGGAACAACAAAAGCATATTTCTTTGTTGAAACCAAAACCTCAGACGAATACAGAAGATTGTTTAACACTCTATCTCAGAATGAAAGGTGACTCCATTTAATATTCTGTCACTTATAACAAAGAAGTGACAGAATGGCACATGTGACCCTATCAACTCCATCATGGTGTGCAGCTCTCTTGCCAGATGCTATTTTCTCCCTTTTTTAGGTCAATGCAATAATCCACTTAAGCACATTTATCCAGTGTCCCTGGTGTATTTTGGAGCATCTATGTGAATAAATAATTTTTAATTGGTGTAAGTTAAAACCTATTTTTAGACTGTTAATAGGAATACTAGATACCTAAGCATAAATTTTTTGTGGCCTGGGGATATAGTTCAGTAAGAACAGCAAATGTGTAGGAGGCCCACGATCCTGGGTTTGATACCCAGCCCCCCGCCCCACACACACACACATATTTTGTAAAGATCCTGGTCTGGTGTTAATTTTTTAATATTTTTGTAGTCCCATTTTTAAATTTTTTAATTTAATTTTTCTTTTTTTGAGTTTATGTATTTATTTATTTATTTATGCATATGAATGTTTTGCCCATATGCATGTAAGTGCACCACATGCATGCAAGGCTTGTAGAGGCCAAAAGAGGACATCAGATCCCCTGGAACTGGAGTTACAGATGGTTGTTAGCTGACATGTGTGTGCTAGGATCCAAACCCAGGTCCAATGCAAGAGCAGCAAGCACTTTTAACCACTAAGCCATTTCTCCAGCCCCATAATTTCTATTTTCTAGGATTTGACATAATACTTCTACATGTGAGTGTGTGTGTGTGTGTGCATCTGTGTGTATAAAACAGCTTGTATTCTCAGATGTGACAGGGCTGTTATTACTTGGAATGATAAATAAATTTGAAAAATCAGTATCTAGCACATAGTATTTGGTCAATAAATGCCTATTAAACTATTTCACTAACTTCTTGTGTTTATGTGTGTACACATATTCATGAGTGTACATATGTGTTAGTATGCATGCACATGTGTACATGTATGAGTAGAGACCAGAGGTCAACACTGGGTATCTTCCTCAGTCACTTCTCCACCTTATTCTTGAGGCAAGATCTTTCCCAAATCTAGAACTCACTACCTGGCTGGACTGGCCATCTCCAAAAGTCAGCATGTATCTACCCTACCCACCCTTCCCAGCACTGGAACTATAGGAGTACACCACATAGGTACTGGGGATCTGAACTTGGGTCTTCATGCTTGCACAGTAAGCACTTTCCTAACTGAGCCATCTTCCCAGCACCTAATTCACTAACTTCTAAGCCCAGAATTTATGCAGTGGCACTCAAGATTGCTTTTGAACACTTGACCTAAGATTGCAGTCCCTGAGTGAGAAAATTTTAAGTATCTCCACAAAAGTACACTTGGTGCATATGCTGCATTAAAAAGCAGGTGCTCAGCCTGAATCCATTTGACCCTTGACATTTCCCTGACTGACTTCCAAAGGCCACCCCCACACCCCACCTCCCACTCCCCAACTCCCATGCCCCTACGTCATACATCTTTGGCCTCCAGACACCTCCCAGTGACAGACTGAAGTTAGTGGATAAATGTCCGGGCCCAGCCACCGCCCCCTCCCAACACACACACACACACACACACACACACACACACACACACACACAGAGCTGCTCAGTGGGATTCAGCTCTACCGGCCCTGCAACCTCTGATTGAAGTCTTGTCATCCTGAGTCCTTTTACTCCCTGGCTGGTGCTTCCTGGGAGCACCAGAATTGAGATGACTCAATTCTGAAAGCAAGAGGACTTCAGTTCAATCCCCAGAACCCAAAGAGAAAGCCGGGCATAATGGTGCATGCTTGTAATCTTAGTGCGGCAGAGACAGGTGGATCCCTGGGGTTTGCTGGCCAGCCAGTCTAGCCTAACTGGTGTGTTCCAATCCAGTGAGAGACCAGGTCTCAAAAGCAAGATAGGGCCAGGCATGGTGGCAGACGCCTTTAATCCCAGCACTCAGGAGGGAGAGGCAGGTGGATCTCTGTGAGATCCAGGCCAGCCAGGGCTACACTGTAAAAAAAAAAAAAAAAAAAATCAAGGTAGAAGTCACCTGAGCAACAACATTAATGTTATCCACTGACTTCCACACACGTGCACAAACACATGCATGCACATGAACATGCATACACACACAAACACACGTTTGCTGCAAGATCAGATTCTGAAGGAACCCACAATAAGGAACTTCTCATCAATCTTTGAATAACAGAACAATCAGTCACATGAACATGTTTTTGTGTTTGGACTAGAATGAAAATGAGCTGTTGTCAGGTCAGGTGTGGTACACACCTTTAATCCCAGTACTTGGGAGGCAGAAGCAAAAGAAGACAGGAAGGTCTCTGAGACTGACCAGGCCAGCCTGGTCTACATAGTGAGTTCCAGGCCAGCTGAGGCTAAAAAGTGCCACTGTCATCAACCAGCATCTTTCTGGGTGAAACGCAGACACCATCTGAGATTTTAAAGCATTTATATGCAGCATTCTAAATCCCAGTGTAGTGGACCATGCCTATAATTCTAGCACTTGGGAGGCTGAGACAGGAGTTAAAAGCCAGACTTGGTCACATAGAGAGACCCTGTCTCAAAAACAAAAAATGAAACACGTTGAAGAGCATGTCCCTATAAGAGAATGACTCGGTGACACTAACTTGGCTGACCCAAGACCCTATTAATTAGACGAGGGACATGGTGCAAGCAAAGAAAGCATTTTAATGAAGGCCACTAGCAATGTCAGACAGGTCCACTATGATCTGATCCAAACAGGAACCCTCACTCCTATCACATCAAAGCATCCCCCCTACATTGGCCCCAGATACTTTCTTCCCTCCAGCTCCGGGTTTCTTGTTACCCTTTGTCTTTCCAATCACTGTCTCCACAATTACATATGTTTCCTCACATGTCTGTATACTCTCTGTTGAAATCTTCTCAATGGATTCCACCATCTCCACCTTCTTAAAAGCCAAAGCCTTAGGAGGGCTTTTTGCCAGCAGGCTACTGTTCTTATTCCCATGCCCCTCTGCTCCATCCTGGTTGGTCCCAGCCCTTTGTGAATGGGATGTAGATGATCCCTCTGGACCAGATATGACCACAGGGCAGGGTCTCTTGGACCCTTCATCTTCCTTCTGGCCATCATAGTTTTCCTCGGGGCCCTTTGGTTCTTTGGAATCTATCCCATTCTCCCTGCATCGTTTTCCTCGGGGCCCTTTGGTTCTTTGGAATCTATCCCATTCTCCCTGTCTGTAGCCTGATGATGGTTTGGGTGCTCACCTGCCCTGCCCTGGAGCCCCCTGACCATTCTCCACAGGCAAAATGGGCTGCTCAAGACAGGGTTCCACATGGCCCTCATGATATGTAGGGTCTTCCTGGAGGGAAACCACTACCCCACCTCTAGCTGGGATGGAGGAGGAATGGAACTCAGGGTCCACAAAACTGACATGCCCTGTGACCAGCACGTGCCGCCCTTTGGTGTACAGGTCAGTGGGTGGCTCTGGCACAGGCTCTTTGGAGCCTCTCACTCTCTCCCTGACCACTTTGCAGAGTTTCCCAAAGGCTTTGCTTATCTTTCCCCCATCTGGCACATCCTTAGGACCCCCTTCTTGTGTTGGGGTAGTTTCTTCATCTCCACCCTCTGAACCCAGATGAGAGTCATCTTCGTCTTTAAGTTTCCCCTGCACTGGCTTTGGGTCTTTCAGACTCTTTAACGGTGCATCATCCAGAGTTTCGTCTGCTTTGTCTTGAGCTATCATCTTTTTTTGGAAGATTCTTGGAGAGGCTGTTTTGTCTGGGTTTAGCTGTAGTGATATCTTGCACAACCCTGCTGAGATCTAATTTAAAAAAAAAAAAACACAACAAGCATTAAGTCAAATATGCCTGTCAGTGAGAGGAAATGATCACATTTAAAAACATGACAACTGTATTAAAGACAAACATCCAGCACTGGGGTGGGCCAAAAGCAATGACGAGTCATGATCCGCTATTCTGCCACCCACATCGGGGTCCCAGATCCGCCAATCAGCTAGGCAATTTTGCACAGATCACATAATCCCTCTGGATTCCCCAAAGGGAAGGGAAGGTACTGCTTTTCCTGACACACTTCACTGTCATGCTGGACTAACATGTAGTGAGGGGCTCTGGAAGAGAGGCTCTAGAAACAGGAGCAACATCCAGTCCAGTTTCAGCCCTGTTGTGCTCATGAGGGAGCGGGGAGTAAACTGGGTCCAGACACACAAGGAGAGATCCTCCATGCAGACATCTCTCTGACTCCTCCAAAGGAGGTACAGAAAGACTGCTGGGCCTTTGAGAAGTTCTGATGGTTTCAGGCTTGGAGATAGAATCCACCTACAGTGTCCCAGCCATCTTGTGACCATCCCTTGCTCAGCATCCCCTTCATTCTGGGCTAATCAAGGGAGCAATGGTATAAATTAAGAAATGTTCCTAGGGCTCTACTCACTCCTCCACATTAGCTGAGAGGGAAAACAAGAAGATGAGGAAACTATACAGAAATCTAATCCTGTGTCAACTCAGTGGCTTTCTGGCTCTACTCACATGGTGATTTTGGAACTTTTCATCCCCGGTTGCCTCCATTTCCTCCCACTAATAACCCAGGGGCTAAGACTGAGAGCCAGTGGTTGGCATGGGATGACCTGCGGGGAGAGAGCTGGGTGAGCAGAAAATGGCAGAAATGGGTCAGAAAGCCATCAAAGCAGTGCAGAGAGGGGTGCGTCAAAGGAAGTGCCTCCCACAGCTGGCCCTGGAGGAGAGAGATTTACAGGGCCAGATTGCACAGGGCCCTGTGCAAAAGGAAAATGCAGGATCTTTTGTTCAAAATTCTTATCCATTTCAGGACAGTGATGGCAGAACATAAGCCATGCTCACAACCTTTTGAGTGTGTTATACACTTCAAAATTGCTGAAAGTAAATTTCAAATGTTCTTGGCACAACAATGCTAAGTATGCAAATGGTGAGCATGATACCTAGCTTGATTTAATTACTCTTTGTGTTTATAAATTATAAGACTAGGTTATAACCCCATAAGTTCATATAATTATAAATTATAGTTTGTAATTATTTTTAGGAAAGGAAAAAATAAAAAGAATAATCTCAGCACTTGGAAAGGGGAAAGCAGATTGTGAGTTAGAAACCAGTCTGGGCTACACAGTGAGATCCTTTCTCCAAAAAAAAAAGCAGAAAGTAATACTGATGAAAAGCCTTATAAAGTGTGCGCATCAACATTCCCACATTCTTTCTCCACAAACCCTGACGTTGTTCAGAGTCAGGATGTTTAGGTATGGGGTAACGTCTCACTGGTGTGTAAAACACAACAGAAAGACCAAACCCATAAGGCAGAGGCCACATTTGCCCCTTGTGCTGCTTCTACTCAGCTTTTTCCTTTGTTTTGCTCGCTCGTGTGTCTCTTTGCTTCTTTTGAGACAGGGTCTTACTGTAATGCTCAGACTGGGCACAAGTGATCCTCTCACCTCAGCTTCCCAGGTAACTAAAACTGGGCACTAGCACCACACCTGGCTCCTGTTAAGTTTTTAAGGGCAGAAAGAATGAGCATTTACCGAGCATCTAATCTGCACTAAACACTGGATTAAGCACCTTTGCAATGACTACTGCATTTAATTTGTAGAAAAGAGACAATTCAATGTCTGTTTCTTGCCTTAATGAAGTGGCAAGTAGTAAAAGCAGATCTGAATGTCTTTCCCCATTAAATGTCTCATGTTTGGGGCTCACATTCCTGGGGTAGGATATCCTCGAGGCAACTTTTCTGCTTATAAACTTCTGGGCTGTTATGTAGTACTCAAGAGAACATATCAAAGACAGAATGAAGGCAGTCTCCCTCCCATACAAGCATTTAATTTCAGGGGCTGGGGAGATAGCTCAGCTGGTAAAGAGCTTGCTGTACAAGCTTGAGGACCTGCGTTCAATCCCCAGAACTCAAGTGGGAAAAAAAATTAGGTGTGGTAGAACATGCTTGTAATTGCAGTGCTTGGGAGGCAGAGATGGGAGAATCCCAGGGCTACCCAACCTGGTTTACTAGGCAAGACCATGCCTCAAAAAAGAAAAAAAAAAAGCCAGGAAAACCAGAACACCTTTAATTCCAGCACTAGAGAAGTAGAGACAAGTGGATCTCTGTGAGTTTGAGGCCAGCCTAGTCTACAGAGTAGGTCCCAGGTCAGTTAGGGCTACACAGTGAGACCCTGTCTCCAATTTCAAAAAAAAAAGATGGATGGCGCCTAAGGGCCAACACCCAAGGTTGTCCTATGACCACATGCACACCCATATGCACCATCCCACACATATACATGCATATACACACACAAACATTTAATTTCCAGATGAGTTAAAGGGAGCATGAATGTCAAGCACAGGAAGAAGGCTTCTTGGTGGTGGTGGTGTTTCTAGACAGAAGAAAGCAGAGGCCAGGGTCAGAGAACAGAAGCCAGGGTTGGAGAACAGAGGCCAGGGTTGGAAAGGAGAGGCCAGGGTTGGAGAACAGAGTCCAGGGTTGGAAAGGAGAGGCCAGGGTTGGAGAACAGAGGCCAGGGTTGGAGAACAGGGGCCAGGGTTGGAGAATAGGGGCCAGGGTTGGAGAACAGAGGCCAGAATTGGAGAACAGAGTCCAGGGTTGGAGAACAGAGGCCAGGGTTGGAAAGGAGAGGCCAGGGTTGGAGAACAGAGGCCAGGGTTGGAGAACAGAGGCCAGGGTTGGAGAACAGAGGCCAGGGTTGGAAAGGAGAGGACAGGTTGGAAAGGAGAGGACAGGGTTGAAGAACAGAGGCCAGGGTTGGAGAACAGAGGCCAGGGATGGAGAACAGGGGCCAAGGTTGGAGAACAGGGGCCAGGGTTGGAGAACAGAGGCCAGAATTGGAGAACAGAGGCCAGGGAAAGAGAGGACAGGTTGGAAAGGAGAGGACAGGGTTGAAGAACAGAGGCCAGGGTTGGAAAGGAGATGCCAGAGTTGGAGAACAGAGTCCAGGGTTGGAGAACAGAGGCCAGGGTTGGAGAACAGAGGCTAGGGTTGGAGAACAGAGTCCAGGGTTGGAGAACAGAGGCCAGGGTTGGAAAGGAGAGGACAGGTTGGAAAAGAGAGGACAGGTTGGAAAGGAGAGGACAGGGTTGAAGAACAGAGGCCAGGGTTGGAAAGGAGATGCCAGGGTTGGAGAACAGAGGCCAGGGTTGAAGAACAGAGGCCAGGGTTGGAGAACAGAGGCCAGGGTTGGAAAAGAGAGGCCAGGGTTGGAGAACAGAGGCCAGGGTTGGAGAACAGAGGCCAGGGCTGGAAAACAGAGGCCAGGGTTGGAAAGGAGATGCCAGGTTGGAAATGAGAGAGGCCAGGTTGGAGAACAGAGGCCAGGGTTGGAGAACCGAGGCCAGGATTGAAAAGGAGAGGCCAGGTTTGGGAGTGTTACCTTTCCCACTGGATCTAAGGCTGAGAGAGGCCCCATAGCTTGGTGTGAACAAGGAGATGGGAGTCTCAGTGAAAGCAGAGCTCAGCCTGGCAGAAAGAATCAGAAAGAATGTGGAGCTATATTTAATTCATCAAGGCAAATGGGGTGAGGGGCAGAAGTAACTCTGATCTTGAGCAAATTTTTTTTTAAAAAAAGCTTTCTCTAGATTAAAGCACATATGAACTAAGTATCATTATAAACTGTTAACCGCATGTGTGTTTATGCACTGAGTGAGGACATGAAAGAAGTCATCGTTTCTTTGAGCGCAAGTCATAAATTGTGAAATGGCCATAATCACAATGTACAGTGACTAATTAAAATCTGAAGCATCATTTTTCAATCAGATGGGGTCTACAGGATTTCTGTTTCTTAATTAAAGAATAGTAAACCCAGGCTTCGAATGTTTAGGGCCAACAGAATGCAATATATAGAATATACAGAATATATGTCACATTTAGGATATTATATAGGATATATAATATATACAATGGAATATAATATGTGGGATATGATACATAGAATACAGGACAAAATAATATTTAAGGCAATCTGGATATAATACTGTTTAAATAATATGTCATATAAAAATAGAAAAATGTTTAGAGAAACTGAGGAAAGATGTAAAAAATTACTGAATCCGAATAAAGAGTGCTCAGGAGTTTCTTTTTCCAGTCTGTGACATTTTTATGTATTTGAACTGCATTAAAATTAATTATTATCAAGCCTACCAAAGGAGTATATCATTAACTTTCTGTGATGCCCTTCTCCTGACCCAAAGATTTCCAAAAGGACATGTAAATGCAGTTCAAGACTTATTTTCACAGGCACACAGAAAGCTTTCACAGCAACATAAACAGAGCATGGAGTTATCCAAGACATGCTGGCTCTAACTAGAGAGAAAAAAGTAAAGCTTGATTTTCCTACTATGCATAAGCCAGGCACAGGCTGCAAAACTAGAGCACCCTGAGCAGGAGGAACTGCTACTTGTGAGGTGCTTAGAGAAGGAGGCCTTCCCTTTTCATTCAATCTAAATCCAGAAAACTAGAAGGACTGAAATTAAAGAGTCTCAACTCAATGCCTAACCTGTTCTGTCAAGTTCAGTTATAGATATGGTTATTAACATAGCTGTAGTTGGAGAGAAAGGAAATTTCCCAGCAGTCAAAGTAAGTGACTAATCACAGCTCTGTTATACAGGAGACCAGGCAGCCACATCACTGATGCTCCCAGACAGTAGTAACCACGAGGGTGGCAGCAGTAACAGCATTAACTCTGAACACTCCTCAGTGCCATACAGTGTGGGAGGCCCCTCAGCACCACATGACTGCTTCCCATCATCATGCCACCTGCTCTACCATCTGTCCCCAGGGACACAAAGCTGCCTCCTCCAGAGGCTGTTTCTGGTCACCTTACTTAAAATATCAAGTGTACCCTAAACCATCCACACCAACCTCCCATCCTCTCTGAACAGATCTCCTCCAGAGGCCTATCAGACTCCCTCTGCCACAAAGTTACTCATCTTATAGCCCCCCCAATCTAGCATTCAAGCATGAAGTTAAGAATATTTTAATTTCCTTGACTACCACATCCTCAGTCCCTCCAACCATGCATGACACATAGTAGGCACTCAACAAGGATTTGTGGAATAAGGACATGGACAGGCCAGGGAGCCAGGCATACAGGTGCATGACCACACCTGTTGCCTTCGATCTCGATGATCCAATGATACCGGTCCAGCTCATTCCTCAGGGTCTGCTGAGCCACAGCCAGCTGCCAGCAGTCATAAGATGACTTCTCCAGAGATCACTTGGCTTCCTCTATCTCCTTCTTCAGGCTTTCGATCTGCTCATTGTAAAGCTGTATCTCATCATCCTAACACTCATGAGCATTTCTAATAGCTTGTTCCAGGGCTGTTGTCTGTGGGCAAACACACACTGTAAGGAAGTCCATCCCACCTCTCCCCAAATGTCTCCTGATTGGCTGGTTCCCCCAATGGGTGGGGCCTGACATGAGCAGGAAGTAGGAAGGGAAGCTGGGAGCCTTCTTGGAATGGAAGCCAGGAGCCACCAGTAGACTGTGACGTGTAGGAAACTAGCAGCCATTGCAGCAACTCAAAGACAGAATGGACTGACTCCCTGTGGACCTGGGGCAAGATCGCTGGCCCCGGAGGCATGAGCGAATGCTAGCGGGGCTATGGGCATCTGATAAGGCGGGCTCTGAGTCGCCGCAGTGCGCAGCTAGGCACTGGGTACTCATTCCTTTTGTAAGTTAATAAACACATAAAATATATTATATGGTTTGTCTGATCACGCAGGAGACCCAGAGAGGATTCAGGCCACAGAATTGGCATAGTCAGCAGGATATAACAAAACTAAGAATGAGTTTTAGAAGCGTGCTAATGGCAGCACCAATGTGGTTTTTGCAATAGGTTACTAAAATGAGGCCAGCCACGCAAAAGCAGGGGCAACAGCTATGTTGTAAATGTGGGGATATGTTGAGGGTATGTGAAGATTTGTTAAAAGTTATGCAAAAGTTAGAAAATCTTTTACCTTCTCTAAACTCAAAGGAGGTACCTGGAGAAAGAGAGCGGCCACTTTGCATCATAAAAGCTACGCCCCAGACAAGAGAAGCTGAAAAGGCTGCACTGGAAGACCCAGTTACAGAGCTGGACAGAGAAAAAAGGCGGGACACTTTGACTTGTGTAAAGTCCAAGGACTCAGAGAAAAAGACAGATAATAGTAAAAAGGGGAAAAAAAGCTGACTGTACTATAGCTAGGAAATATTCCATGCTGGAAGTGTGAAAGCTAGGAAAAACTTACAAGCAAGCAAGCAGAGAGCCCCTGGCCACGTGGCTTGTGAGAGTATGGGAAATGGGAGCAAATGACGTCAGTCTAAGTCCTTCAGAAGCTTCACAGCTGAGTTATATAACCACCCATCCATCCTTGCAATATAGGCTGTTCAACCTAGGCCAATGCAATGGGGAAATGTCCTTAATGGGGTGACTGGTTGAAGGCATTAAAGATACATAGTTGTCACCAAGGGAGACTAACATAATTAGCAGGGGCTGGAGGACTATAAAGGAGGGGCAGACATTACTGAGAGAACTAGGTATGGGAAAAGCAATATATGATGTCCAGTTCACTGGGCCAGATGAGACTGTGTTCACCAGAGAGATGAAAGAAAGCTTAATTCAACTGGGACCTCGAGAACGGTACGGGGCTTTAATGGCTTTACTAAATCCTTTGATGGGACAGGATCTTTGTAAAGTGAGAGAGGCTTTGGCAAATCTAAATGATTCTGACCAGCATGTAAAACGTGTCTGTGAAATAACAGAACACCCTATAAGAGATATAAGAAAGACCAGGCAGAGGAAATGGTCCGCTTGGGTTACTCAAAGACAGATGTGCCAAGACTTATGTCAAGCCCAAAATCCCCAGAGAAAAAAATTGATAGAAAACCAAATTCAGTACTAAGGCATTTCTGGAAGGCTTTAAAACCAGAAGAACAATTTAGAAAAGACATTCGAAGGATAACAACTAACAACTGTACGAGGTGTGGTTAAGAATCCCCAACGATTAAATAAGATGCATTTCTCTGATAAAGGCTATGCTAGGGGTGGAAGCAGGTTTTCCCACCAAGTTCTCCCCCAGCAACCTGGTATAGTCAATGGGAAGATGACAGATGCGGCTATGGTCAGGAGGCAGACCCAGAGCCTGTCTGACTCAGGGAACCAACAAGTGCAGCGGGAACAGGAGAAGCCTCCTGCCTCCTTAGCCCAGTGCAGGGTCAGGCAACTGGAGCCAACACCTGTATCAAGAATAAAGGAATCCAAAGGGATAACTAAAAATGGTAATGAGCTAACCAAATTAATGCCTCATACCCATGCTATGGTACCTAACAAGGATCTATGGAGAAAACAGTTAATACAAATGGACAAAACCTTTCCAAGCTTTATGAGACCTTGCCTATGAGTGATTTAATATTTAATGTTAATGTTCCTTTTAATGTTTTACAGATGTGAAACCCATTTGAAAGATACCTGAAGAAGCAAAGGTCAGCTACAGACAACTGCTAAGAAAATCTACAGTACCAGGAGTGGGTTGCCCGCCACGGGTTGTTGGTCAGAGAGAGACCCTCGAGGTCCTCCAATTCACCAAGGCTATTGCCATTAATGTCAGTTGTACACTAGAAAGGTCGGTAAGGCCATGTTGCTGAGGACACTGCATGTTGTGAGCACAGGAGAAGAAGAGATGGAACTGAGACTAAGCCAAAAAAACTCTGTGCCACTGGATGGATGACATTCATATTGCCAGAAGGTTCTCAACAGATGGTTGGGGAAGAAAGGATCCCCTATAAGTCTACTCAATGTGGACTTCACGTGCTGCACACTACAGACATGCCAAGCAATACCTGCAAGTGCAATAATGGCTCGATCACATATGTACAACTGACAAATTTCTAATTGGATAAGGCCCGCTCCTAGAGATGGAAAACACATCTGGTGCTGTAGACCAGGCCAATGCCTTGTGTGAGGAAAGGCTACAGGCCCTAGTGGGGAAGCCATCACAAGTATACTGTTTAATGAATATATGATTAATGGGGAAGCCCAAGAAGCCACTATCTCACCATGATACAAGAGAGGTCACCCTACATCTATCACCCCCTCCAAGGCTCAGGGACTTTAGTAGAAGATTGGCAGAAAGATTGTAAGAGCGGAAGAAAGGGGTGGAGTGTCTCCCAATTGGTTGGTTCCCCCAATGGGCAGGGCCTGACATGAATGGGAAGTAGGAAGGGAAGCTGGGGGCCATCTTGGGATGGAAGCCAGGAGCCACCAGTAGAGTGGGATGGTGTAGGAAACTAGCAGCCAGCGCAGCAACTCAAAGACAGAATGGACTGACTCCCTGTGGACCTGGGGCAAGATCGCTGGCCTTGAAGGCATGAGCAAATGTTAACAGGGCTATGGGCATGGCACGGTCTGATAAGGTGGGCTCTGAGTCATTGCGGCACGTGGCTAGGCACTGGGTACTCATTCCTTTGTAAGTTAATAATCTCACATAAAATATATTATATGGTTTGTCTGATTGTGCAGGAGACCCAGAGAGGATTCGGGCCACACCAAGACATGGGCTTCACTGTGAGAAGCTGATCTTGGTGTCTTGCTTTGTTTGTTTCTCTGTCCATTACAGCTCAGCAGTGGCTTATTATGGAATTTCTTAAGCCAAAGAGGAAAGCCAAAACTGAGAGCCTTTCTCTATACAACACAAATGTCAGCAGCCTCTGGGATTAGCTCTAAGGCAGTCCAAAGATGCCAATCTCAAGAAATAAAAACAAACCTGGTATCCATGACAAATGTGCATAATTCAAATGAAGCATATTCTTCATACTTTAAGGAGAGCATAAATCTGGAAGTTGAAACACAGAAAAAGGAAAGCACATGTGAAGATGACACCATGTTATTTCTACTGAAATTACTAAGGGAGAAAAGAAAGTTTCTTCATTCTTGGTCAGCCACTAGGAAGCCTTGTATTCTCCTGAATTTCATCAGTAAGGTTACATTTATGTTTGTCTAGCAATGTGTGTTATGCCTACCATGCATAAAGCCCTGGGCTCCACCAACAGCATTGCAAAAAGGAAGAAGAAAAAGAAGAATGTGAGAGAGACACTACATGCTAATGTAAGTCAAGCAAAAGTTAAGGTAGGGGTTGGCTCAGTGAGCAAGAGCGCTTGCTAAGGAAGCAAGACCTGAGTTCAAATCCCCAGCATCGATATAAAATCTGGGCATGGCCCCATGTGCCTGTAACCCCAGTATTGGGGGGTGGAAACAGCCAGACTAGATGAGACAGTGAACTTTAGGTTCAGTGAGACCCTGTCTCAAAAGAAATAGGTGGAGAGTGGTTGAGGAAGACACCTGACATCTTCCTCTGGCTTCTCTGTGCATGACAACAGGCACATGAACTTGCACACATGTGCACATACATCACACCAACACACACACAAATTTAAATTAAATTTTTAAAGTTATGATAAGAGAAGGATATCATTTTACATCACTTTCTAGAGCTTCCGACAATGTGAAAGGTCCATACATGGACTTATTTACAAGCTCACTATATGCAGTGATGACTCTTAAAATGTCATCTCAAGGTTCTGGAGAGATGGCTCAGCAGTCAAGAACACTGGCTGCTCTTGCAGAGGACCCACATGGCAGTTAACAACCATCTGTAACTCCAGTTCCAGAGGATCCAACGCCCTCTTTTGGCCTCCACAAGCATTGCATGGCATGGGTACACTTACATACAGGCAAGCAATGCATTCATATTCTTAAAATAATTTAAAAATAAGGTTTTTTTTTAATCCCATCTCAAGTAGGAAAGGATCTAGCATGTATGGTCCTCAAGAACAAAAAACACTGCTTCTACCTAGAGCAATACTCTTCCAACTACTCTGTTGTATTAGAGTCACCCAGGGAGGGGAAGATAAGGATTCTGACTCCATGGGTCAGAATTCTGATTCTGTGGGTAAAGTTGGAAAAGTGCATCTCTAACCAGCTCCAGTAGGAAGCTGATGATACTGGTCCATTGGCCATATTCATGACGGGCTAGACAGACATCTATACCCAACTCAATGCCTGAGTACTTCAAGGTGTTTCCTACATCCAAGCCTAAGTATGCATACTGGAACCCTGGCGGATAATCACTCCTATGACAACCCAATCCTTCTCTCAGTGGTAACATTTGGAAATTTAGTTTGTAAAGGTATTCAGGAAAATATCCATTACATCAAAAGACTAGATGATGAGGGGAGGCACACAGACTGAACTACTCTGTGTGTGTATGTGTGTGTGTGTATGTGTATTATGTATATATGATGTGTGTATGGTGTGGTATGTGTGGTGTATATGTGATATGTGGGTGTGT